CTTAAAACAACAGTAAATAAAAAAAAAACTGGAAAAGTAAAAAGTACTAGTGCGAGAAATCCAACTTTCCGCACGATTTGTAGTGCGAAAAATACCACGTTTTGAGCAACTGTATTAAAAATGTATATTCATTTGTCATTCAATTTTAGGGTGGTACCTATGTACAATCTGCCACAGGAGGCAATACGAATTGTTAGCCTTTAAAGGTTTACTCACATATACGCGATACTCGCTACTGTTCTGTACTCCTGTTGATCAAACATATATGGACCTCGTTACCGCTACGGACAGTGAAACTTTCTTGATTTTCACCGATCTAGACGATTACTTCTGTGCCGTCAATGAATAAGACCATAAATTTATCATTTCTTTTGTGTTTCGTCATCACGTGTATTCTGTCCCTATCTACCGACCCGAGGAAATAGGGGTTTCCGGAGAGCCCTCCGCAAGTTATACGCTTTCACGGCCATCTCTGGCGGACCCGGACTTGGGTATGGACTCACCAGGGTTTGTGGTTAGCTGCAGGGATGAACACGTTCGTCTGCCCCGGTGGTGCCTGAGGCAAGGAGACACTCGGGGCACATGAGTTACCCCTTAAGTCGGTGGCTATGTCCGGACGTGTCGCTGGACACTGCTTGGCAACTCCTTTGGAGACTCCTTTATGTCAATCATGGACCAATAATTCACGTGGACTGCTAATCTCCGTAGCTCAGAAAAAGTCCGCCAAAATTCCGTTTTATTTCTAGATGGCGGTGATTAATAGCTTGGAAGTGGTTTATATTATGCATCGAGTATATAACCAGAAATAGAGACGTAATGTCATTTCATTTGTTTGAAAACTATTCTGCCATATCATTACTGTGACAACTGCGCTCCGATTGGCTAGCCAATTGACGGGTGTCATCAATTGTTTCACTTCAAATCGACCTTAACTTGAGCTTTGCTATAATGGACGATAATTGCTTTAATATTTGATTGCCGATGAAATTTCATTTTGTTTGTATTGTAATTAGATGTTTTGCTGCTTTTCCCCACACCACCGAAGGGAACAACACGCCATTGTTAGAGATATTATTTTTATTACAATAAATACAGAATATTTTTGGAATATGTGGAAACGTACACACAGGTCAGTTGTTGGCCTGTCTCTATTTCAATGCAAACTAGAGTTGATATTTATAAGTGATCTATCACTGATGAGTTGCCAGGAATAAAGAAAGAAAAGAAAGAAAGAAACGTTTATTCAGCCAGCATCACACATTGCCAGTATACAAAGAGTTACAGTTACGAGCTGAAATGGATCCAAACTCAGCATATGTCACAGCTCAATTGCTGTAACGCTGGTTTTCAGTTGGAACCATTTTGAAGGATGAGATGGCACGATATTATGAATTATTAGAATGTATGGCCCTTATTTCGTCTCTATTTCTGGTTATATACTCGATGATATTTTGTAAATCGTCGTGAATATCATAATTTAATGATATTCTCCTCTTTAATATAAAATACAAACTGTCCGTTTTTTGCCTTGAAATATTATTCAAATACTGACCATAAGCTAAAATTTCTTTCTGGACTTTGACAAATATGCGTGTCAATCTTCCTTCTTTATTTAAGAGCTAGGGCTCTTGTCGGTGGAGTAATCGCCAATCATCTTTATTTAGCGCTTTAGCTTTGATTTCCTGATACGCCACGACATTAACTTTTTCCTTTATCTGATCTAAATAACTTCGTCTCGTTCTTCCTCAGCCTCTCTTTCCTTCGATGCTCCCTTCTATTATGTTTCTAAGAAAACTGTCGTGACGCATCAGATGACCAAACATTTTACCCCTTCGGTTCTCTATTGTCCTTGATAAGTTTCTCCTTTCATTCACTATTCGCAACATCTCCTCATTGGTCTTTCTTTCCGTCCGACTGATTTGACTGAGCACCACATCTCAAATGCCTTCAATCGTTCTCTGTCTCTCTGTGTCATTGTCCACGTCTCACTGCCATACAATGCATTACTCCAAATGTACACTTTAATCAATCGTTTCCTGGCCTTTTGAAATTTTTGCTTTTAGTAGATGTTTTTTAGAGTTTTTTTATTGTTGAAAGCCTTTTTAGGGTATCGATAGAAATGGCATTTTGTGTTACAAACTAATTGATGATTTAATGCTTGCTACATGGATAGCTGGCGCTAGTCCTAAACAAAGTAAAATAATAGACGGCAGTATCTATAAAAATCTGTGACATAAGCGCAATCTAGTTTTTTGTTTGATATCACTAAATTAGATTAGTTTTGATAAAGTGCAGCTCTAAAAGAAAGTAGTTACACAAATAGCTATTTGGTACTCGTCGCGACATCTGTTGTACTAATAGGTACTAAATACCCGACTAATAAAATAAAACTTGAAATGGTGTAATGAGTAAATAATATAATAAATAAATATCTTGGACATCGCTTTTCCTTGAACCAAGAAGCTCAGGTTAAAGAGAGGACGTCTTTAAGTCGAAACTCCCACAATGCCTGAAGACAAAGCTCTATAAATAATGTGTCTTACCGATCCTCACCTACAGTGTGGAAGCATGGACGCTCTATTAAGCAAAATGTGTTAATTTTGTGCATTGGAAGGTGTTTTGCGTTCTATGCTGGGCATTGCTCTCGTGGATCGTGTACCAAACGTCGAAATTCGACGTAAAACGAAGGTCGATGACGTAGGTAATCGCATTACGAGGTTAATATAGAGGTGGGCGGGATATTTGGCTAGACGAGAAGACGGACGATGGACCAAAGCAGTGACGGAATGGTGGCCAAGAGGAGCAAAAAGGCCAGTGAGCAGACCGCCAGCCCGATGATCTGACGATATCATCAGAATTGCGAAAATTGGGAATCGCTGGCAATGGATGCGAATGGCGCAGGACCGAAAATATAGGCGCAATAAAGAAGAGGCCTATGCCCAGCAGTGGGTTGATGTTGGGTGGCCGTGATGATGATGAATAAGTAAAGGAATTAATATACTCAATAGGCTTAATACAATAGAAAAAGAAAGCCCTTTAACTGTTCTAAAAGTTGAGATTTTCATCCACGACCAGGCCCTGGGCATTGTGCCCAGGACTAGCAAAATTTGCTATTTAAGTAGTTAAACTCATTTCTGGATAGAAGCATCAGCCTGCTAGGCGAATTGAAAATTATACAGTGTAAGTATTAACTGTACTGACTGTATTGACCGAAAACCCTACATCCCTGGGGGCCCAGGGATACAGAGTTTTCGTAGAAAAAGGCACAAAGCACTGTAACAAGGAGGTTGGCATACTTGGTAAACAAAATAAAAATTAAGATCTTGGCATTTATATGCTCCGGAGTCCAGCGCATTTCCATATACAATACGTCCCCAAAGAGATGTGAGTAAGGTAGGTACGTTTTTCTAGGGGCCTAAACGATTGAAATATCGTACAGTGCCCTCGGCCGGACAAATTACATACGCTTTTCCAGCGACTATTATAATACCGTATTATTTGATGGAAGTACGCGACGTGACAAATCAGAGACGCTTTCTTACAAGCGTCTCTTGCGAAAAGCCATACCCACGGAATAATAAAAAAAAATGAAACTTAAGTATTTGAATAAGGTTTACTATTACTATCATGGAAACTGATCATATTAAGAATTATTGAATAATTGTGCCATCTAGTGTTCAGTAACGGAACTCATAAGCCAAATGAACCATGTGTTAGTTATATAGTTCTTATATAGTTGTCTTTAAAGCGAGGAATCCTATAAACGTCAACTTTTGTTCCGCATGATATCTACTCGGATAGGGACACACTTAGACACTGTTCGAGTACAAAGAATTATGTGGAACATTATAGATCTCAATAGCTATACACGGTAATGGTTATTAGAAAAAACGGTTACATGTTTAATTCAGTGAAAACAACATTTACCGATAATACGAAACGCCTTCACTTCGGATACATTTTTGTTATTTCTATTATTTCACAGAACAATAAACCATAAGTCATTCAAAATATTTTTTATTTACGTTGTGAAGGACACGTTCTGCTTAAAAGAGCATTGACGCGCAACAAAGATTGGTTATGATAGATATTTCATAACATTGGCTACAAAGGAACGCCCACTTCATATTTCCACTAGTTTGTCATAACGTGGCCCAACTGGATCATTCCCTTGTGGGTGTACTAAACACAGGTTATTGATGGTTTAAACTAATTTAATCGCTCAAAAACGTCAGCTGGAAAGGCGTATCTAATTCAACTACACCAATCAAACAATACGGTACTATCACAGTATTATATAATAGTTGGAAGAAAAACGAAAATTATGGACGTATTTCAGCTGTTTAGACCCAAACCCATGGAAAAGCGTAGTAACTCATCTCTCCCTGGGGGAGTATTGTATACGGAAATCCATATATACATCACACTCCGGAGTAGATAGATGTTATTACCTACAATTGTTTTTTCGTGAGATATCGGCCTACTCAAGACTTAAACTAAATCTCTCGTGCAGTCTTAACATTAAGTTCTTAATTTCTAAAATTACATCCATTAGTTTTTAATTCTACAAGGCTATTGGCTTTAAATTGTATTTATAAGAAGAAATGCCTACCGATGCATAGATACATCAGAAAGTTTCAAAATAATAGCAATGTAACAACTTTTTTTATAGGTCTCTATTTTGACAAACATAACGATGTTTAAACTGAAATCGTTAACACAACAAATAATCGATAGAACAAAAAAAAAACTAGGAATTTTTCACAGAAACGGTATGCTTTATACAAAGCAAAGATCACGTGCTGCCTTTCAAGGCTTGTAGAAGCGGTGCAGTGGCGCCACTGTGCAGCCTTGCAGCCACGCCTCTACTTATTTTCGTACAATATTTAGAAGCGCAGCTGCAGCCACAATCGCTACTATAAGTGAGCTAAAAATTACTCCAGCGCCACATGCACCCGGTTCCACAGTAGCGCCACTGTAACGCTTCTACAAACGTCCCTTAAGTTGTATTAAAAAAGCAAACTGACATGTTGAATCAAAAACCACAATGCTTTAATATTATCTAATCTGAAACCAATGTCCTCTGGACATCGTCCTCGTAATTAACGTCGAAGTTCTCGTTGTATTGGAACTCGTTGAAGACAGCTACTTCTTCATACGTCTGGCTAACGACCAGCATTGGCAAGAGAAACAGAAAGAACAGGAGCATCCAGGCTTGTACAGATCTTGAAGCAGTGTTGTATGTTACTACTGTAAAGAGAGAAATGAAACCGTTAAGTGTGTGTAAAACTTGCGCATCGTGGGTTCTCGTCTCGGTTTAAGACAACTTTACATCCCTTATTTTTCTATAAAATTCGGGACAATAGGCAAATTTATAGGATGTAATAAAAAAACACGAGTTTTGTATTTTTTTTTACAAAACACCGCGAGGGAAGCTAAGCAAAATTTAAGAGATGCCACTTATTTATTTTATTTATTAATTTTAGAATACTTATTGATCTAAATATGGCGGCACAACAAAAACCTGAATAGTTTTGTCCGTATACCGCAACTAAAATAAAGTATCAACAATTTACACGCCCTCATTTATGGACGTTACAATAATACATTACTGACTCTGACGTATTTGTACAAGGTGATACAAGTACATGCCATTGGAATTTCTAACAGCAAAAGTAACTTTTGACCAACCATCCCACTAGTGACATAGCTGTACTTTCTTTTATGCAAGAATATTGCCAAGAACGTGTTAAATTCTAAAATACTCAAGAACAACACGTACGTACAAGAAACCTGCAGTCCATTCAGCTAGAGAATTTTGAACCCTCTATTTGAATCCTATTAAAAAAACTTTAAACGAGTGTAGAGTGCAAAAATACAACAACTATGAAAATATTGTGTCTCTGAGCTATGAAAGTACGATCCATCAAAATTATAAGCTGATTCATTCCTTGTCTATGTCAGATAAATAAACTTAAAAGATTTGTGAATCCTTCCGAAGTACAGATTTACTTAAACATGTTCTTGCTAAAGTAATTGCAAATTAATTACTTAAAAGGACTTAACAAACTTATTACTTCTCTCAGGTCTAGGATCCGTCTCAGGTGTGAAGAAGTCCAAGTAAGCGAACTTCCTGTACACTTCATAAACGGTGGCCACACAACTGAGCCTGAGGCGTCCTCCAGGGAATAGATCTGGGGTTAATTTCACATCTGCATCGATGGTGGTCCATAGAAGACCAGAGTCTGATGGATGCAGGCTCATTTCTGTCGAACGAACCTGGAATTTAAAGTGGAAAATTCATTAGTGTATCTGCAACATCGAGTATATAACCAGAAATAGAGACGAAATGTCATTTAATTTGTTTGAAAACTATTCTGCCATATCATTACTGTGACAACTGCGCTCCGATTGGCTAGCCCGAGTTCGATTCACGTCATTTTTGCTGTTTTGCCCACACTACCGAATAAAAAAACACGGCATTGTTAGAGATATTATCTTTATTACAATAAATACAGAATATTTTTTGGAATATACGGAGACGTACATACAGGTCAGTAGTTGGCCTGTCTATATTTCAGTGCAAACGAGAGATGATATTTATAAGAGCTGTATCGCTAATGTATTACCAGGAATATATGGCCCTTATTTCGTCTCCATTTCTGGTTATATACTCGATGATCTGCAATACGGTGTAATGCAGATTTCTTATTATCCCTAAAGGTAGAACCACACATTAGTAGCAGTACTGCCACCTTGCCTATTTTTGTCGCCAAGGGGTAATGTGGGCATTACAGCATTCCGGGTTTGCAGGTTAAGGGTGCTGGTGAAATTACAGGCGCATGGGACTTTTCAACTTATGTCTCTTTGATATTTAAAGCTCTGAGTGGCACTACAACTGCTATGGGCACTTAGTATAATAATAAAACACCAACCGTCGTCGATGTGGTTTGGTGGTTTGGTAATACTGGCTTATCGACGAATATCGATCTATCAAACAATCATTCAACTGTTCGATTGATGATAGGTTGGATGGCGGATTTAGTAACTCATACAGAGTGGGCTCTTTCTAGTAACTGTTAACACGTATATAGAAATTCGATCGTCGATATTTCCAACATTCAATGACAAATCGACCAAATCGAGTTGGTGTGAGTATTATTATTTTCCCGCGTTAGTGTATTTGTTGTATCTTTGTCCGGTTGGAAAAAAAATTTCAGAATGTTGGTTCGGAATTTTGTAATAGAGCGACAACGATTGTTTTTTTTCTCGCAATCGAAGTGAAAAGTAAAGTTTTCATCTCGAAACTAAACGCCATTATTATAGACCCTCGGTGAAATAGAAACCACTTCGGGTATACAGGGTGTCCGGTAAAGAATGGATAAGCCTGAAATGCCTTATAGTAGAGCTTATGAAGGTTTTAAAAAAATATAAAGAAAAATACGACCCATATAGTACCTAAGATATTTTTTTTTTCTTTAATTATTTTCACCTTATTTTACGTTTTTGTACACCACGACTACAAGTTAATCAATTCCTTCGGTTTTTTGATGTCATAATATTCTACATTAACTGTGCTAATAGATAGGCAGTAAATAGTGTGACTAACTATGGCACTTATATTTAAAAAAAGTTTTATTTTATTTTTCAGTGTATTTTTATATTTTTACAAAGTTTAAGCATTTTTGTCATAAAAAAAAAATTTTGATAACCTGAGCGGCCAACTATTCTAAAGTAATGTGTGTTTAAAGTAGATTTCAAAATGGTATAATTCATTATTGTATCTAATATAAATAGAAAATTATTGCTATTAATGTGCAAAATGAGCGAATTTGACTAAAAACTAAGTTTTCAAAATTGGACCATTTTTTGTCCTGAATTGAGCTTGACCATCGAGGTTCAATAAAAAAAAACAATATTAGAAATAAATACAACTTTATCTACAATTTGTTTACAGCAAATGTTCAAACTGTTTGCCACCGACTCTGATGCAGGCTCTACATCTTCGAATAAAAGCTCTTTTGAGTAGCCGCGTATATCGTCGTTCACATATTGTCACAGCGGCTGCACTGGCACGGCTACGTAAGTCTTCCAAGGACCTGATCAGCTTACTATGCACAATTTCCTTAAGGCAGCCCCAATTTAAAAAATCCAGTGGACTTAGGTCCGGAAAACGCGGAGACCATAAAATTGGCCCCAGACGGCCGTCTGTCTACCCAGACAACATACCCATACCCATGTTCTATTCAAATATGCTCGAACAGGGACCGCATAGTGCGCAAGACAGCCGTCATTTTGTAACCAATGGGATTCCCTCAGCTCCTCGGGCACGTCTTCTATTAAATTAGGCAGATCATTCTGGAGGAACTCCAAATGACTTTGACCAGTTAGGTTCCCCGGTAGTTGAAATGGCCCTATCACTTTTCCATTTAATATTCCCGTCCAATAATTTATTTTAAACTGGTACTGTGATCGGTCATTCCGCATAAGATGGGAGTTTTGAAGTTCCCAGCTACGGAGATTATGTAGGTAGATTTAAATAGCCGTCTCTCTTAAGGGTTGACTCATCGCTCCATTGAATGTTGTTAAAAAATTGCGGGTCTTCCTCTATCTTACCTAGCATTGTAACATTGTAATCTCTCGGTTGGAGAGTTTGCACGCGTGTAATATGGTAGGGATGGAATTTATTTTTCTTTAAAATATCATGCAAAGTCGATTTCCCTATTCCAGTGCGTCGTGCTATTACTCTCGTCGAGGTGGAGGGATCTTGCTCAATTTCCTCAAGCACTATCTCTTCGTTGTCACCACGAGGTATTCTTCCTGTGCTAGTACCACCAACACCACTACCAGGCATTCTTCCTTCTGAGTGACATGCATGGACTCTCATGAACACACGGTAATCTGGGTGACGAGCTAATGCTCTCTCTCTATATGGAAAGATACCCTAATGGGTATTTTTTTTTTTTTTTTTTTCTTTGGGCGTATACTGAATGCGTGGCATTTTTATTTACAGACCCAAAAACTCTGTTCAGTCTAGAAAAAAGCCAAGTCGTCACAAAAACCAAACAAACAAAGTCCAAATCAGTAATCAAAACGATAGTCCATTAAAGAGCTAGGTCGTCTTTTTAACACTGATTGAAAGAAAATCACAACAATTGCGAACGGATAACACATGTGATGTCGAACAAGTCGAGTGACGCACTAATTCCCTGAAAACATTTGCTAGCCGACACTGACCCTCCTTATCTCACATAAAATAAAAGACGAGTGGTGCGGCGACCGCGCAGGTAACAAATAACTGTCACACATGGTATAGTCACGGGTGGTACACTCATGGTATATTAACAATGTAAAAATTGTTTATTCTTATGCTGTAAACAAATTGTAAACAAAGTTGTATTTATGTCTACTATTGTTTTTTTTATTAAACCTCAACAATAGTCAAGCTCAATTCAGGACAAAAAATGGTCCAATTTTGAAAACTTAGTTTTTAGTCAAATTTACTCCTTTTGCACATTAATGGCAATAATTTTCTATTTATATTAGGTACAATAATGAATTATACTATTTTGAAATCTACTTTAAACACACATTATTTTAGAATAGTTGGCTACTCAGGTTATCATATTTTTTTTAATATCAAAGATGCTTAAACTTTGTGAAAAAAAAAATTTTAGACTAAAAATAAAATAAAACTTTTTTTTTCAATTTAAGTGTCATAGTTTACTATTTACTGCCTATCTATTAGCACAGTTAATGTAGAATATTATGACACCAAAAAACCGAAGGAATTGATTAACTTGTAGTCATGGTGTACAAAAACGTAAAATAAGGTGAAAATAATTAAATTTCAAGAAAAAAAATATCTTAGGTACTACATGGGATATATTTTTCATTATATTTTTTTTAACGTACATAAGCTCTACTATAAGGCATTTCAGGCTTATCCATTCTTTACTGGACACCCTGTATATTGGCTCGTTTTAGTTCCTCGATAAAAAATATACTATTCTCTATTACACAGTATCTCCCCAACCCGTACAACGATTTCAAACTTGATAAAGCTTAACATCTTAAAAGCTTAATCATGCATCAAGGATGGCGCTATTGTTCGAGTATCAGTGTCAAATTTGATGCGCTCCTGACGTACTTAGTTCCTTTTTGACGAAAATGGATAATGCTTTTTCTACGCTCATCGTTTCATACCAGAATAATTCATGGTTTTTAAAAATATATAATTTAATTGTGAAAACACAGTTTGTATTGAAGTTGGCGGTTACAATATAAGTAAACTTAGTTTCACTGTGCTCAGTAAAACATTTAAAGGCAATATAGATTTTAAGACTTTCACTAAAAGATTATTACTAATTACAGGTTTCTTACCACAGTATTTCTCTTAATTTTCCAGATATATCGGCTCTTTTACCCCGTAGCATAATAAGACAAGTATGTTAACTCTATAAACATGTAGCTGCGCGGCTTGTTTGTGTGCACGCCCGTGTAAGGACGTATACATTCACATAATAGTGAAAGGCGCGTTTGACGACCAGCGCTATGCATCGCGAGTGCCTCGCGAGATTATGCGAATGTGTGCATCTGTACACGCGCGGCGGGCACGTACACATACAACTGTGGTCTCTAACTAATATTATATTAGTTAAAGACCACACGTTTTGCAGGTTTAACTGCGTTGTTCTCTTTCATATTTAGCGAAATATTGCTACTAAACATTCGCAAATACAGTACCTTACAAATTAAACTAATATATATACGCCATCACGAGGATTTAAACCGACGACTTCTTAATTAAAAAGCAACCGCTTTTTCCCTTGGGCTACAACTGCTTATAATTAAAAACAAATTAAGTGTGCTACTAATCTCTAAAAGTCATTCCGGAGGGAAAAACGTTTCTCCACAGAAATTTGAACTGTTGACCTATCAATTTGAGACGAAACTGTGCTTAGAAAAGTACGTTTCCTAAACTGGAACACATTTTCAACTGCAGAGTCACCGAGGTTATCAATGGAAACCAGTTATCAAAGTTAAAACCTGTAAGGAGCCCGAATTGTCGACGGTTTTTTTGAATAAACAAACACGCGATTTAGATCCGAAAAAAAATTCATTAAATGATTACCACTAATTACAGGTTTGTTACCACGGTATGAGTAAGATTTTCCCGAAATATAGGGAACGTATAAAGATGTTTTAACGGTTATACGGTCAATGGTCACGGGTTGACTAGCCAGCGGCAGATGACAGCTTTAAGAACAGACATCTGTCTACCCTCTTTCGATATCGACGACTACCTTCTTCTCAATAATTTGCGGCGTTACCATTGTCACTCACTTTTTTCCGACAAACCACAATCACTGTATCCACGCGCGAACTGAAGTCGTCATTTGTGTTTTTATTAGTATTGTTTAAATTCTAAATTATTTCATTTCCAGTTAAACCAGTTTAACACTTTTTAGTACAAAGATCTAACACTAAGAAGGATGGATTCGAACCAACGTCTTCCAGCAAACTGTCGTTAAAAACCAAACACAATGATCTGCAACAAGCGCATACAAAAATTCGTAAGGTCCGCTAGTTCGTTCCGGGTTAGTTGGCATAGCGTCTGGCACGGTTTGCTGGAAGACGTTGGTTCGAATCCAGCCTGAACGAAGAAAGTGAAGTGATTTCACAAATAATAAAAATAATAAGTAAATATCAAGATGGTCAAACATTATGACATTGAATAAACTTAAAAAAATACGGTGTAATACATACAGGCTCTTCGTTGACGTAAATAGTAAGGTTAGCAGCAGGTCTTGCTGGTGAGGACGTGCAATTGGCGTGCAGGGTCTCCCCTGGCCGATACCGGTCCTTGCCTGTGTGGAGCACTGGATCCAGCACTGGCAGTGCTGAAATGAAAATAACGACATGCTACGTCATAATAATAATATTTGTGATTTTAGGTTCACCATAATAGCTTATTGCACTGTATGTCAATTATTCTTGAAGTACGAAATCAGTAGTTACGACCGTTTTCCCACCATGAATGACCTACAGATTTGATTTCCGATCAGGGCTAGAACTAAGAATATATGACAACGTTACGCGCATGTCGACGTATGACAGTTTCGAACGGACCCGTCTTTTCGTTGACGGGCACACATAATGGGAAAACGGTAATAACTACGGATTTCATGCTTCAAGAGTACGGCCCTAGATACGAGCCAAAAAGCAGTGACCCAATTCTGCTAATTTTCTTGGAACCACTGGTAATTTCAATTCCATTGAGACATCATTAAGATTATATTGCAATTTTAAATAGAAAACCACCGTGAAACTCAGACATATTAACTAAATCACAGGTTACTATGTAACAGATACATCACTCTCATACAAAATCGAAAATACCTACGCTGTAATAGCCTACTAAATCTGACTTGTGACATCAGGCACTCACTACGAGGAAACAGGAACTTAAGCACGGGCTCAGATAGGTGAAAATAATGTTGCCCGCGTGTGTGTAGTCGTTCGGAGCCGAACGCTCATAAATGAAAGACTTGTATGAGCGCTTGTGCCGACGTCGGTACACTCAGCAGGTTTGTAGTATCTGAACCCGAGGTCGGTTTAAAGTTGCAATGGAACCCAAACGAGCCCAAATGCCAGTATCGTGTGATCTCGGGACTGGTTGCTAGTAAAAAATAATGAAATTTGAGACGCATCCATTCCCGGGTTCAGTTGCAGCTCAAGAGGTGACATTATATTTGTATCGTCTGAACCCGAATTCATTTTCGATAGACGTTACGTAAGTATGATTGTTAACATTAATTTAAAAAAAGTATATGGTATGTTAGTATTTACTCAAACATTTTATGATATAAGCATGTCACACCGACTTTGCAATCCGATCATACCCAAATGTGATTATTCACTCAGACGTTGAATAGTTATTCACGAAGGTAAAAACTGTTTGCATCAATTTCATAATAACTCCATAGAGGATTCAGTCGTTTCTAGTATTTGTCTTTTCATTTTGTCAGTTTGTATCAACCCCGATGCATTTATTGAAACGCATCTACAAATGGAACTAAACGGCTGTTCCGTAACTGATATGCATTAAGTTTGAACTTAGCATAAAAAGTACAATTTTTCAGGGCATGATAAAGACCAAATCTTTAATTTCGATCTATAAAACGAGATATTTGAGATCAAAGGTCTTGTCGCCTGTTAATCTATGGGAAAATATTCAAATGTAAATTATTGCGCTGCAAATGTGATGTATACTAAAAAAAGTTACCACCAACCAGACTTGTTCGTTCCGTCACTTGCTATCATAAAAAACTGTTATTCCATACAATTCTATTGTATTGTAGCAAATTCGGTGTAGTTGCTACCTTATTTATAAACTGCCTTATGATTTATTATTTCTGTTTCTATCTTCATAATCTTAAACCCATTATAGAAAGAAAGGAAGAAAAATTGATTATTTTGTAACATTGGTTCACAAGTGACAAAAGCTATAGTAAAATAATGGAAGTGTGATTACTCTCCGTACAAAGTAAGAGCGCGATTCATAAGTCACATACTAACGAAAGACTCATCGGGACGACCTGCTATGCAATGCGAGTGCACCGCGAGATTATGCAAATGTGTGCGTCGCGCCGTGTACGGGCGCGCGGCGGGCGTGCACACAAAAACGCCGCGCTGCTATGTTTGTATGGAGTTACCATACGTGTCTTATTATATTATGCAAAAACAAAATAAACTTACGATAAAACACAACAAAAATGGTCTCCACTCAGCTTTTAGTAATGAGATGTTGGAAAACGCCTCGTTAAGCTTGTTTTTAGTGAAGCCGGATAAATGACAAAGATGATGTCGCTCCGTACAAGTAAAATGGAAAAAATATATAAAATATAAAAAGAAATGCAAATCAAAAGCAATAAATGTAAGTATAAGTGTGGTATAAGGTGGCGTGGGGTATAATAAAATCGAAATGGATTGGACGTGCATTGTGTGTGTAATGTATTCTCGTGTATCTGTCCTAGGGACATTAATGCCATTGGTAATGTGGCTCTGGTAACACGTAACCACAGTACTGGTTAAATATATGATTTGTAGAAGGCAACACTCGGCATGTCCTACTATGAGTACGTGTCTTTATCTTTTTTTATGATATCAAGCGACGTTGAGACGAACAAATCGTGCACCTGGTGGTTAGCGACACGCCTATCCATGACAATTGCAGTGTCATTCAAAGATTTAAATCGCAAAGATCAGCTGGACACTGCCGCTGTGGCCGTCAACGTAAGTTGTAAGTTAACAATCCCCATGTGTCTGTAATTTCAACAGCACCTTAACCTTCAAAACTAGAATGCAGTAATGTACACATTACTGCTTGACGGTAGTAATAGGTAAGGTGGCAGTACTTCCTGGCCGAACTCTTTCACTAGGAGTTCTACTGTTTCTACTTCTTTTCTAGTTTACTAACCTAGTGATACTTGGTGAACTTTTAACGTTTCTAAGACTTACTTCTAAGGCTTACCTTCTTCAATATACAGTAAAGTTTTCATCATAATATTTCCTTTGTTATTAGCCGGAAGTATTTACTAAAGTACTTACGAGTCGATACAATCTCAAATGACTTTGGTTGACTCCGCATAACAGTAAAAATATTGATTCAGATTTAGATTTAGATTTATTTCTCAAATATAACGTTACAGTATAAATTGCACTACAATATGTCAAAGTATAAGAAATTATATTGAGATCGTTAGACAAAAATGAAATTTATAAGAAAAATACACAATAATTAGTTAATTATCAATTCATTAAATAATATTGTTGTCATTAAATTACATATCAAAT